CGCCAACTTCTCTTACAGTTCTATACAATTCCTACAATAGGTAATGTAAAACTCTAACTTGATTATTAAATAGCATATGTGTGTGTTTCTCTTTTTATATAATACAAATATATTACATGTGTTTGACTTGGTCTATTAATCTATTTGATATACTTGTCACAACAAGAAATAAGGATTTAGAGATTACTAATAATATGCCGGTAAAGAATTAGATAAGCACGTATATAATTTTTCTCTTTTTTTATTTTTATTTCACTAGAAAGTTGACAAATGTTCAATGTAAAAATTTTAATTTGAGCCAACAAACTAGTACAAAATTGAATTGACATATTTACAATTGCAAATCAATCAGTGATTATGCTAGTTGCTATTTTTCAAATGAAACTTGTAGTAATAAGTCTATATATTATACTTGTTTAATCCCATGTTTGATTCTAATTTATTGATCAGAGTTTAGGTTGTTTGATTAACCATGTACTAATTTATTTATTTATTTATTTATTTATTTATTAGAGTTTAGGTTGTTTGATTAACCATGTACAATTACAAATACTAATTTATTTATTAGAGTTTTAAATTTTATTTTATTTGTTTGAAGATCATTGTTTATTCTTATTTGTTTTATTTGATTATTATTCTTTTAAATTTTGAAACTACAATCTTGTAATTATTTTATCTTTTATTTAGAGATGAGGAGATTTTTGGTTGCTAGAGAAAATATTGAGAATATGAATGTTGTGCAACCACAAGCCGAATTAGAACCACTGTCTAATGTGGTTAATGAGTTTAATCCAAATGAGATTGTGTGTGGTCCAGGTCGTAGGAAACAAATTAATGAGTATGTTCCAGATATTCAAGACTAAGTAAGGACGGTATATATATTGAAGGGTCCAATGCAATCAGATTTGCCAAGTTTTCCTCGTACTCCATTTGGGAGTATTAAAAGATTATTTAGCAAATCATGGTATAAGAATTATACATGGTTAGAATACAGTGAGATGAAGAATGCGGCTTATTTTTTTCATTGCTTTCTCTTTAAGCAACTCGGGAGGTCCGAGCACTTTGGTTTTTAAGTCTTCACTAAAAGCGGATATAGATATTGAAAGCATGCATCTCAAGGCATGAAAGGTCACGATGGTAGTCATAATAGTTTGCACAAGTCATGTGTCAAGCACTACGATGATTATAATAATCAAACACAAAGTGTGACAAGTAAGTTTGCTAAAGCAACCAAGGATTCAGAAGAATTATATAAGATTTGTTTGACTTGTTCTATAGATTGTTCAAGATATCTCATAGCACAAGGCATGGCTTTCCGTGGCCATGATGAATCCTCTACTTCTCTAAGTAAGGGTAATTTTAGAGAGATGGTAGATTGGGTAAAATTTCAGAATGAACAAGTGAGGGATGCTTTTGACCATGGTGGAAAAAATTGCACAATGACTTCTGGTGACATTCAAAAGGAGCTTGCAACGTGTTGTGCACATGAAGTTACCAAGGTGATTATGGAAGAACTTGGTGATAGATAATTCTCAGTGCTTATTGACGAGTTACATGATATATCCGTCAAAGAGCAAATGGCAGTGATGTTGAGGTTAATAGTTATATTTTCCAATTTTCATTACCTATTATTTTTCAAGTAAACTTATTGAATTTATTTTAGGTTGTTGAATGACAAATGGAATGTCACAGAACGATTTATTTCTCTACATCATATCCAAGATACTACATTAGAGTCATTAAAAATGCTCTTTATGGTATTCTTGATAAGTACATGTTATTGATTTCAAGGATACGAGGGAAAGGATATGATAGAGCTTCAAATATGAGAGGTTAATTTGATGGTTTGCAAAGAAAAATTCTAGATGAAAACACTTATGATTTCTATGTTTATTGTTATGCTCACCATTTGCAATTAGTTGTTGTGTGTGTTGCTAGTAGTTGCTCATCTATTCATGATTTCTTTGAGTACATCTCCTTGATTGTGACCACAACAAGTGCATCTTGTGAGAGGAGGGATGCTTTGACGGAGGTACAACACCAAGATATTTTAAATAAACTTGAGAGTGGTGAGATATCTAGAGTAAATGACTTGCACCAATCATCTAGTCTCACTAGACCCGGGGATACTAGATGGGGTTAACATCATACTACATTGCTTTGTTTGGATCATATGTGGTCCTCCATGTTAAAGGTGCTTAGTATGGTTGATGAAGATGGACGTGGACCATCTCAAGCAGCGGGTTTGATAGAAAAAAATGGAGAGCTTTAAATCTGCTTTCATTTTGAAGTTAATGTTAAAGTTGTTTGGTATCACAAACGAGTTTTCAAATATCTTGCAAAGAAAATATCTTAATATTGTGATTGCCATAGAATTAGTTGATAATGTCAAAGCTAGGTTGGCCACAACAAGAGAGAGTGGTTGGGATAATTTGTTTTTCGATGTCCAAGATTTTTGTGTTGCTAAAGGTGTTCTGGTTCCAAATATGGATGACGAAATACCGGTTCAAGGTCGTTCAAGGGTAGAAGGGAAGGCTATCACTAATCTTCATCATTACCGTGCAGAGATTTTTTATGTTGCTATTGACAAAATATGCGTGGAGATTGATTATCACTTTAGTGAAGGAAGTACCATTATCCTTAATTACTTCTCATGTCTTGACCCCAAGAACTCTTTCTCCAAGTTTAATGTTGATAAGCTTGCTCGTCTTGCTGATATTTATCATGCATACTTTTCTGATGATGACCGAGGAACAATAAGGGATCAACTTGACACTTATGTTCTTTAAGTGAGAAGAAATGCTTCATTTTGTACTTGTGAAGATGTTCAAAGTTTGACTATGAAGATGGTTCAAACTGAGAAACATTTGGTATTTTCATTGGCTTATAAATTTATTGAGTTAACTTTGATATTGCCGGTGTCGACAACATCTGTTGAAAGAGCTTTTTCACCAATGAAGATTATCAAGTCTAAATTGCACAATAAGATCAATGATGTTTGGTTCAATGACTTGATGGTATGTTACACTGAACATGGGATATTCAAGTCACTTGATGATATTGATATTATTCTAACATTTACCGCAAAGAAGTCTCGAAAATGACATTTGCCTCGTGATTTTATTTAACCCGCTATTGTAAGGTTATGTTTATCTCTTTTATTTTAAATTATATTTTTATTGACAAAATGACGAGTCTCTTTTATTTTGATGGATAACTATTTATATATTATATATAATATGAATTTGCGGTCTTTAATATATATATATATATATATATATATATATATATATATATATATATATATATATATATATATATATATATATATATATATATATATATATATATATATATATATATATATATATATATATATATATATATATATATATATAAAGTAAGAGTATTTTTAAAATAGTGTCTAATCATCTTATCTTTTATTAAAAATATACCATATTTATGAAAAGCTCTTTATAAAAAAAGACTTTTTTATTATAATAAAATATACAATTAAAAGAGCTTTTTAACAAAGTAGTTGAAAGGAACTTTGTAAAATCGGTGCATTTTTGTGTGCATATGCTTGGAATCTCGGTAGACGCAATATACAACGTTTTATTACTCAATTATTTATCATTTCTCTAAACCAACTTTCCTTTATCTCACTTCATGTAATATATTTTACTATTGTCATGTATCATTTAACTATGGAAAATTACTTAACTTGTAAATTTCGCTTGTCAAACTTATATATTTAAAAAGTGTTTATTTTATTCATCATCTAAATTATTTCTTTTAATTTGTGTTATATTCATGCCTCACATATTTTTCACATTAACATTTGTATAATACATGTCATATATCTTAGTAACATTTGTAAAATTATTGTCGTTTAAAATTTTTACACAGAGATTAAGAAATACAATAATGTTGTCATAAGATATTTTATTTTTACAAAATTAATCTTATTAATGTATTAGAAATAGTCTTTAGAATAAAAAATAAATAACAGAATTAAAAAAAATATTAGTAATTACTATATTGAAAAATAAAAATAACAGTCATTTTAAAACAATATTTTTAATTAAAATGATAATTATTTTAAAACGAAAAGAATAATAATTTTTTAAAAAAGATTAGATATAATAAACACACTACAAAACAGCAAAAAAAAAAAAATCATCATGTAAGTTTGCTTTCTCCGCATCGAAAAATATCTTTAAAATAGAATTTCTCACCACCATAAACTTATTCTAAGCCACTGCAAAATCTAAATCCTCTAATCATCTTTATCAGCATAGAGATATCAAGCATCTGTAATTTTCTTTATAAATAATTACTTCTAATACTATTTCATTATGTTCATATGTATGAATCAAATCCGAGTACTTTAATTATTAATACATTCACAAATATTATCCTTTAAATAGTGGATAAATTTATTTTATATATATATATATATATATATATATATATATATATATATATATATATATATATATATATATATATATATATATATATATATATATATATATATATATATATATATATATATATATATATATATATATATATATATATATATATATATATATATATATATATATATATATATATATATATATATATATATATATATATATATATATATATATATATATATATATATATATATATATATATATATATATATATATATATATATATATATATATATATATATATATATATATATATATATATATTGTACACGAAACAATGCATTAGTGAGACTCTATTGCTCATGCCCAACTAGAAATTTATACACTATAAAATATGGAAATCAATAAATAAATGTCAAAACATCTATATTTAAATTTATTCTTCAATTCATGTTTATTTAAAATAAATTCATTCAAAACATCTATAAATATCAAACACGCACCCTATAGGCGTTTTGTGACAAAACAAATAGATAGTTGAAAGGAATAGTAACTTATTATTTAAAAATTATCTCTTTAAAGTTTTGATGTAGCAAGCTTGATTAGATCCTTCCTAAGAATTTTGCCAGATGGATTTTTGGGTATGGAAGATATAAATGCCACTTTTCGAATTTTTTTATATGGAGCCACCTGCATTACATATAAATTTGATCAATATAATATTTTTTTATGTAAAAATTAGTTATGAGATATTTACATGAATTTATTTATAAAATTATTTTTAGAAGACTTTAAATACTTATTTCAATTTAAAATGATTCATTTTACTTAAAATTATTCCAGTCAAATCATTAATTCATTTATATATATAAAAAATATTCAATTATTCATGTACATAAAACATTGACTAATTGTGTTTGAAAATATATTTTATAATAATTATACTAAATATATTTTTTTTTTGTCAAAAATGATTATATTGAATATCAAAATGAAGTATTTTGCGTTTAGCTTCAAGTGTTCCAAACAAACCTGTCCTGCAACAAATTCCATAATTTGACAGCCTGATATGTTACTTCCATCCTTCCTTACCACATATGCCATTGGATATTGTCCAACCTCCTCATCTGGATACCTGATACATACAAAGAACACATTCAAATGAAGGGAACTCAAGTCGTACTTCCTCATAATCACATCTGCATTGTTGAGCATAACAACCAGTATTGGCGGCACAAGTGGTAGAACATTAACTTTGTATTTCTCAATGGATGAAAGCATGTCGTGCATTTCGAATTTGGAGAGAATAACAATGGTTGAACCTAGAGCTAGAAGTCCCGTAGCGAAAACCGCTAAGCCATATATGTGAAACATGGGAACAATGCAAATGAATGTTTCTACTTGCTTGCTAAACCTAGTTAACACATTTTGAACCATCGCTATAAGGTTCTTATGTGATGATACTACTCCTTTGCTTGGTCCGGTTGTTCCAGATGAGTAAAGTAGAGTAGCTATGTCATCCTGGTTGACTCGTGACCTTAAGGTGCTCATGTCAGGTTCCTTCTTCATCATTTCCTCTAGTGTATTTGAATTTGACAATGATGACGATGACTCTCCATCGACATCCATGAGAATGACCGGAAGAGTTGGCGATGTTGTGATGATTTTCCAAACCAACAAAGAGATTGTGAAGGCGAGAACAGGTTTGGAATCTGCTATCTGCTTTGCGATTTCATGAGTCGTATTGAGGGGGTTGGTGGTGGTGATGATGGCACCGAGGGACATAACGGCAAGACACACCACCGGGAAGTAGATAGAGTTGGGAGAGAGAAGAAGGATAATGTCTCCTTTTTTGATTCCCATGCTTGAGAGAGAGGAGGTGACAACTTCAACAGATCTCCAGAGTTCTGTGTAGGTGAGGTGGCGGCCGGTGGAGTCGTCGATGAAGGCGGTGTGGCCTTGATGTGCATGAGAGGAGATGAAAGTGGTGGCGTCTAAGGAATGGTTTGGAGGGAGTGATATGGGTTGTCTCTTGCTGTAGAAGATTGAATTAGAGCTACGAAAACCACTTCTTGGGTCGATTCTACCACCCTGCACCTCCATCTCAATCTCTCTTTTTCTTTCTCTACTTCTCTCGTAAATTGTAAATTGTTAGTAATGTTCGAATGCTAGTGCTATTTGTATTACTTGTACCATTTAATTGAATAAGAATGATGATTAAACTACTATAAATTAATTAACTTAGAGGAAAATACTTATTCATCAAATTCAATGTTTGACTTGAATAAATATTTTTAATACAAATAAAAACCATATATGAATCCAGACAAAAATTAAAAGTCATACAAAAACATTTTATTGTTGATTAAAATTGTTAAAATAAGTAAACTTTAAATTACTTTCTAGAAATCCAAACAAATGCATGTTTTAATTTTTTAAAAAAAATCTCTTTTATATATTTTAAATTTTTTTAATGACCTTTTAAATAATAATAGAATAAATATTATTTTAAAGGATTTTTTTAATAAATTTAAAGATAAAATTTGACATCTATTGATATAAATATACATTATTAAAGATAAAACCATAGTCGAAATTATATAAATTTTAAAAAAATATATATTTTAAAAAGACTTTTATGAAAAACAATTCCAAATATCTTTAAATTTAAGAGATCTGTTAAAATTTTGTTATATTAAACGAAACAAGAGTAAAATGATGAAATAACTTATACGTGTGAAATACAATGAAGATGGTGACACAACTTTCAAGGGTTTTCTCAGACTCGATATGTGTGATTATTTGATACATTTTAACTTACTTATAGAGATGCTTATAGGTTGCACAATGGGAGAGAAATTGTTTTTCCATAACTTCCTAGCGAGTACGTGGGAGTAGGGGAAAACCAGATCCTCCTTAAATATTGGAGGGATGTCGATTTCCTCTTTTATCATTGTGACCTAAAACTGGATACTTCTAGACACTTCATATGCGACATGTTGATGAAACACATAGGCCATGGTCATAGGTTTGGGTCAGGCGACCTAGGACCCAATCGAGTGAATCGAGAGTGTGTCCACCTGACATTTTTGCAATTCCTTTAAGTCGGTTTTTTCTCTATGGGTTGCTTCTCTTATGTGCTCAATAAAATTATTCTAGTCAGCGGTCCCTCAAGCACGGAGCCTAGTTAGGGGTGGAGTGGTTAATTTAGATGCATAACGGTCTATACGAAGCATGGGGTAACGAGTCTCTCAAGCATTGCTCAAGACAAGTTCCTCTTGTACAGGGCGAGTCCCTCGGGTATTTCTTAGTGTGATTCTCTTAAGCGTTTCTCAGGGTGACTCCCTCAAGTGTTACTTGAGGCAAGTCCCTTATGCGTTTCTTGGGGAGATTCACTCAAGCGCTTCTCATAGAGAGTCCCTCAAGTGTTGCTCGGGGCGAATCCCTCAGGTGTTGCCCGGGGCGAGTGCCTCAAGCATTGTCTAAGAAGGTACGTGTAAAATTTAATGCTTAGACATGCAACTCTTTTCTTAGGAATACGCGACCATTGTGGGTCGTTGATTATATATATGTGTTAGCATTGAGTCATATATGCTTTACTTCTCCAACCATTAGCGTGTACGTATGTTAGGGAAATGATTACTTATACGAATTAGACAGTTGACTTTACAATAATAGGATCCTGACCCTTTTCTTCTTCACGCTCTCTCCATACTTTCTATATTTCTTAAATGAAAGTTTCTTCTTAGAACTTTCCAAATTCCACTCAATTTTCTATCCTTCGTCATCTTAAGCACATGTATTGAAATTTTCCTCCATCTTTTTATTTTTCTGATAATGGTGTTTTAGGAATTTAGATTAGAGTAATAATGCAGTTGAGCCATATACTGATATGGAGCATATAGAGATGTGGTGGTATTACATGAAAAAACTATGAGGTTCAACAAGACAATTTATTACAAAAGTAGCTCCAATTCTAGTAGTGATAGTGACCATTTAACACATACAAAAATAACATTTGAGAAAAATGACATTTGAGATTTTGCTTAACCCTCGTAAATATAAAAAATTGTTATAAATTCTCATAAACACATATACCAAGCTTCCCTCCTAATTTTACAAATTGAACAACATCCAAATCCTTAGTAAAAATATCAACAATTTGATTTCCAATGCTGACATGCTCAAGAGTTATAACTTTGTCTTCAACTAGATCCCTGATGAAATGGTGCCTAATAACATCATTCAATTTTTCACAAAATAATGTCATGACATCTTGTGTGACATTATACTCAGATAGCGTTTCTTTCACCTAAACTGGTGGAGACCACCTACTACTTGTAGCAATATACTCATGATTAATCCCTTCATTGGTTCATAATTCATCAAACTTGCTTTTTTCAACTTCCTCCCCATGGTTACTTATATTTTTGACAATTCCACAATCCTCTTCCCTTTGAATATTTTGACATAATTCTTTAAAGACTTCAAACACTTCAGATTTATCTTTGATGAATTCTCCCAGGTGAACCTTGAGAAGTCATTAACAACAACATAGACATACCTCTTTCCTCCTAGACTTTCAACCTGCATAGATCCCATCAAGTCCATATGAAGTAGCTCCAAGGGTTTTGATGTGGTCATATGTTAGAGCTTCTTATATGACATCCTTGTTAGCTTCCTAATTTAACACTCACCACATATTCTTCCTTCATTAATCTTCAGCTTGAGAATACCTCTAACAACTTTCTTTGACAAGATTTTCTTCATACCTTTCAAGTGCAAATGGCCAATATGGGGAAGTGCCCTTATCTTAAACACTTTTCTTCCCAGCCACATTCAAATATCACCACGAGCAATATCTCATTTTTATCATGCTTCCATATGTATTAATTCGAGTCTACATGAATTTTTGCTACCTTAATTCCTCGTCCTCCAACCATTTCGTTTTCGTTAATTTATGAATAATTATTAAAAAATACGATAATAAAATACACTTAAAATATCAATTTCTAAATTAGATAAAAGAAAATTATCCCAAAAATGAATACAGATAGGATTAAAATATCACTTACATTCACCCGATTGTTTTGCCATTGGTTTCGCGTAAATCAGAGTTACAGTGGTGAAGATACGAACAAAATAATGGTGTTAATAGAACCGAGAAAGCGATATTTTAATGACATAAACGAATGAATGAAAAATTAAAATAAATATAAAAGCTTAAATAATTAATTAGTAGAAGCAACATACTGAAATTTAAAACAAAATGAAAAAACTTTATGCACGGCTGATTTGTCATCGCAATTGAACCAGACAAATCACACAACAACATAAACTCATAAGTGCAAAAAATGCAGATATAAAATTGAGCAGAATATGCAGAAACCGAAATCAAATCGCAGCAGAGAAATTGAAAAACAAGAACACAAAAGAATAGATTACGGATTTCAGTCCATTAAGACTTACTTTAAAGGGAAAGAACAACTCATTAAATGTCAATCATAAAATATGAATTAAGATTACAAAATTTAAACCCTTTGAATTTTCCCTTTCAATGTTCAACATGAACAATCAACACACACAAGCCTTCCAACCCCTCAAATTTCTGACAAACTCTTTATCCCTTACTCGTGATTTTCACTCATTGTATTTCTCCATTTCTGTGTTTTAACTCACTGTTTATTGCAATTTCATAAAATTTCCAGAATTGCTAGAGAATATTATTTCTGTTATGGCATCAAAAGTTCAATTATGATCAAATCAATCTTTAGAAAACTAGAACCAAGGTATATTACAGGTCCAGTTTGTAATGTGTTACTTTTAATAAAACCATAATTATGGGCCAAAAAAAATTAAATAGCCATATTGGATTTAAAGTTATGTAAAGTTTTACTTTAAGCGACTTCAAATTACACAAAGAAGGGAGATGAACCTTGAATAAGTCAAAAAATAAATAAAGAACCTAAGCAAACAATGTGAATTAGTATGAGTTTAATACAAGTCACATCTTTTACAAAATTTATAAAGTACTTGTAGTGTCGATGAAGAAACTGTCATTGACTTAACATTAACAAGCTCAACCAGCCAGTTGAGTAGAAACAACAAATACTTTGTAGAATTTGGCATCAATCTAAGATAAATGTCTATGTGTTGAATAGAAGATAAATTGGTTTTCCTCCCATAGAGTTTGTGAAAAGGAGAACCAATAAAAGTAAAGATACAATGATCAAAGTATTCAACTTGTGTAATGTTGAAAAAGGCTCAGCACGGACATCATCGCCAAAAGGAAAGGCGAATGAATGTAGACACAATTCAATTAATGAGGGAAAATTGATAGAACTAGGAAATAATGTTCTCATACCATAAATTTTAGGGTGAACAACATCAAGTTTATCAAGTTTAAGAGATGTCAAAGTGTGAGATAAAAATAAGGCCGGAGCAAAAAGTTGAATCTCACATTTGACACAAATGTGTAAGTGGTGGACATTATGTGAAATGGTGTAACTAGTGACCCTTATGAGTAGGTGAGGCTGGATCAAACCATGACGGTGAAAAGTTAGAGTATGTAGTGCGGTTGAGTCATCTCGAAGAGACAAAATCCGAGTTACAAATTTGATAAAATTGAAATACGTAAAGTTGAAGGAGTTTAATCTAAGAGTGGGAGGATGCTTCCAGAGAGATTTCCATCTTGGAGACAGTACGGAAGTTTGAACAATGGGTTTGGAGGGTAAAAAGGAAAGAATGCGAAGGATAATGCAATTCAGTAAATCATTTAGGATGTGTTTAAATTGGCAGTGGACAACATTGATTCTAATAGAATTAATATTAGTAGAATTGATTTTATTAGAATTGAGTTTAAAAAAATATATTTAAAAAAGACTTTTATGAAAAACAATTCCAAATATCTTTAAATTTAAGAGATCTGTTAAAATTTTGTTATATTAAACAAAACAAGAGTAAAATGATGAAATATCTTATACGTGTGAAATACAATGAAGACGGTGACACAACTTTCAAGGGTTTTCTCAGACTCGATGTGTGTGATTATTTGATACATTTTAACTTACTTATAGAGATGCTTATAGGTTTCACAATGGGAG